ATTTAAAATCTTTGATACATTTCCCGAATTGTGGTTAACGCATAGCATCGCGTGTGATCCTTGTTTATTTTTAAATTTATTTTCATCAAAGTTATTTGTATTTGTTTGAAATTAGAAAGTCCTACTTAGGTTTGGAGTCAACTAATATTTTTGACTCACCTTGGTAAATTTGACTTTTAATCAATCAAGATCTGTAAAATTACTAATCAGCCAATACTCATTAGTATCACAAAAATTAATTGTAATATGAATTTCAATTGGCCAACATGTTACATGTAGCGGGTAATTTTTATGAATTAAAATAGAAACATTAAACATTTAATTTTTCTATTCTAGTAATCGTCAATAATTGGATTAATTATTAGTCCTTTATTGTGACTCTAAATTTAATTAATTAAATTATTACCGCAAAACTTTCGATTAGGGTTTGAATTATGATTTTTTAAAGTGACCCAATTTTGAAGTCCGTTTTCGCTGGCCATCGCTGACTCTGGAAATATCTGCTCCCGATTTGCGATTATCTCAAGTCGAAAAATGTTTACCACGTGTTTGAAAAACCAGACAAGAAGTACAACACAAATAAATCGGCAAAAGAGATACGATTATTACCATTGCTTTGGACGACAGCGTGGGTTCCCTATGCGGTGTCCGCTGTCACAGAATTGGGCACTATTTGCGCCAATTTTTTTCAGCCCTACATATTGTCTAAACTCTTGGACTTCATGTCCGCACCGGAGGACCATCTGTGGCACGGAGTCTACTATGCGATCATTTACTGTCTCTTCAATCTAATCGCCCGTCTCTTTGACGCGCATTCGTATCTCTTCTTAAGTCTGGGCTATTATAGGGTTCAGTCGGCGCTCACAACAGCTCTTTATATGAAAATGTTTTAAAAATACGGCGGATCTCGAGACCGAAATGGTATGCGTGGAAAGGGTTAGGGAGTACTCGGAGTTGAACTCAGAGAAGAGTTGGCAATCGACCGATGCGTACAAACCATCTGATGATTGGCCGACCAGTTTTTCAATTGATTTTATCAATTATAGCGCTTCTTATAGACCAGGACTCGAACCGGTGCTCAAAGAACTCAACTTTAGGATAGAGTCGGGAGAGAAGGTGGGAATAGTTGGCCGAACCGGTGCCGGCAAGTCGTCCATTACGTTGGCTTTGTTTCGCATAATTGAGCCAACATTTGGTCAGATAATGATCGATGGCGTGGATGTGACTCGTATTGGTTTACACGACTTGAGATCAAAGCTAACAATTATACCACAAGAACCCAATCTCTTCGCCGGAACCCTAAGACTCAATTTGGATCCGTTTGAAGAATATTCTGACCAACAGTTGTGGACAGCACTGGAAAGGGCGCACTTAAAAGTATATTTACTGGTTTTGGTGAAATAATTAAATAACAATATAAATCTTAAAGGACTACATAAGCGGTACATCCGATGGTCTGTCGCATGAGATCAGTGAAGGCGGTGACAATTTGAGTGCAGGTCAGAGACAATTGGTTTGTTTGGCGAGAGCTCTGTTGAGGGACACGAAGATCCTGGTGCTCGACGAGGCGACCGCTGCCTGCGATCTGCAAACCGATTCATTAATTCAGACAACAATTGCTGAACAGTTCAGTGACTGCACTG